ATATATATATATATATTCATTCTTGTGCCATGAGGTCGTGCGCTCCATTCTATGATGTCCTCATACTCGTTCGGTGTTGGACGGCCTTCGAACATATTGCATGTTGCGCTAGCTCTTCCACAAAGGTGTGTGCTACGATGACTTTGCTCTGTAGTAAACGCGTCATGCTGAACTCTGTCCGAAAACGTAGACCCTCACCTAAACCCTAAACCCTAAACCCCAAACCCTAAACCCTAAATCCTAAACCTTATCGCGCCTTGCACACGCGGGCACGTGTGGTTATAGGCTTCGATACCACCAAGCTGCTCAACAACCTCATGGGAGGCTCTAGCAGCCCAGGCCGATACTCTGAGTTTTTAGGGTTCAGGGTTTAGGGTTTAGGGTTTAGGGTTTAGCATTTGCAGAGTTCGTAGTTTTGTGGTTTAAGGTTTAGAAAGCTTAGGATCTAAGGTTTAGGATTTATAAGGTGTAGGCTTTATGAGCTTCGCGCTTCATTGTCAGATATGCCTCCAGGGCTTTGGCCGTAATGCTTTGGATTCTCGGTTCGTTGACCAACGATCCCCTAGGTTCTAACCCAACGCACGAGGGTTTAGGGTTTAGGGCAAAGATCCGAAGTCGGATATCCCGCTTTGTTACCCTCTGCCTCTAGCATGAGGAATCATCGGTCCTGCTCGGTTTTCAGGCTCCGAAGCCAAATCCTGTATACATATATATATATATATATATACACATACATATATATATATATATATATACATCCATATGTACATATCATGGCGAACCTGCTTCGTGATTTCCTGGCACGATAAATTAAACGTTCAATTTCATTCCCCGCAAGACGGGACTTCCGAACCATGGAAGTGTTCACTGGCCCGCCAGAACCAAATCCCCAAATTCGAAGAGCAGGTCCCACAACACAACAACTCAGGGGCAAAACAAATTGCCACCCAAACCCCTAACATTTTCTATAATGTAGGGGCCTCAATAATTAGAATAAGGCACCTCTATAGTATAGTTACAGTACGGAGCCCTACGGAATAAAGTTATGCAGGCTTCTATAGTAAACCCTAGACCTAAACCCTTAACCCTTGACCCTAAACCCTGAACCCCCAAACCCTAAACCCTAAACCCAACCTTGGAGTCTTAAAGCTCTGACTAAGTCTCAGCCGATGCTCCTGCGGCGCAAGGTCGAACATCGGATTCTCTCCGCAATGGGGTGAGGACACCTGACTTCGGGTTTAGGGGTTTAGGGTTTGGGGGTTTAGAGGTTAGGGGTTAAAGGGGTTTAGGGCCGTTCAGGGTTTACCCCGATCCTGAATTGTCGCTCCTGCTTTGCGCACCTTGCTTCGTTAGGATGGCATCGAATCCGATCGAAAACCATACCGTCCAACTTAAGCCCAGCCCTCAACCCCAAACTCTAAAAAACACCCTAAACCCTGAAACCCTAATGCCCTGAACCCTGAGTCCGTCTTGGAGAGTATAGGCAGGGCGTGCCCCCCAGCTACTGAGAGTTCTGGGCTATTCCAGGGATTGCTCTGTTTCGATCGGGCTGAGCCTCTGGATTGGGCTCAATGCTCTGATGGGAAGCTAGCCGCTAATGTAGGGGCCTTAGAAATTAGAAAAGGGTTTTGGGGGCTCCTTATTATAACTATAGTAGAATATACCCCAAAATCACTATCGTATGATATACCCCAAACCCTATTCTAATTATTCAGGCCCCTACATTAAGCGTCTTTTTCCAACAGTTTCGGGTGTCTGGCTGGCGTCCTCGTCTTGCTTGCAGGCATGAGACCATTCTGAACCCTAATTCCTATCCCAAGTCTCCTGAACTCTAAACCCTGAACCCCAAAGCCTAAAACTTGAACCACAAACCCTAAAACGTATAATATAGGGCTGGAATAATCAGAAAAAAGTTTGGGGGGTGTATATACTACAATTACAATAAGGAACCCCCAAAATAGGGTTGGTATTTAGGCCCCTAATAGCCGGGTTGCAGCTTGAATCCGAGCAAGGTCCCGATGACGTTCGTATCTCTGGGCTAAACCCTAAAACCGTACTGTTGATGGACAAAATCCTGCATGACCCAAATATAGTACAGTACCATAAATCCCATAGTTTAGGTATATAAGGTCATGCAGGATTTTGTCCATAAGCCGTATCTCACTCTAGGAGAACCCGAATTCAGAACAAAATTCAGCCAACATGCCTCGGCCTAGACCCTGGTTCTGCAAATCTTTGGGTTTAAGGTTTAGGGTTTAGGGTCTAGGGTCTAGGGTCTAGGGTTTAGGGTTTAGGCATACAACAGTCGCAAAACGTAGATAAGTCGCAGATGGGGAAGTCCATGAGGTGTAGCACCAGCTGTTGAAGCCAGTCGCAACTTGATCAAAGTTGACGATGCTCCAGAACAGCACTGATCGAACGGCCACATACCTTCATTCAGGGCCCCTAAAAAAAGCACATAAGAAAAATTAAGATAGGGATATCCCATATAAAACCCCTGACAATGAAGCCCAATGAAGTTGGGATATCCCTACGAAATGCTTATGCTCATATCCTTTTGGGGTTCCTAATTCATGAGCACTCAGAAGCACAGCGATGCTGCGGTGAGTCGAGACTGACCTTTACCCGGTTACATTCTCCATGCTCGATCATAAACCCTTACAGTACCCTCGTCTGTTTGAGAAAAACTCAGCAAAATCCTAGGGTTTAGGGTTCACGGTTTAGGGTCATAAAAAACCAGTTGTCTTTAGACTTTAGAAGCAACCTCAAGCCAGCGATCCAACAATCGTGCCTTGCAGCTCCTCTGAAGGGTCTCACAAGAGCCGACAAGCACACTATGGTGGCTTTGGAGGCTACTAGCTTGGGCTGGGGAAACACCGAAAAACCCGCTTGTGCTTGCTTCTCTGAGATCCGCGCAAGATGCCTAAATTCAGGGGTCTGAATTAAGAATTAGAATAGGGTTTTGGGGGTTCCCTATTCAAATTATAGTATAAGGGGCCCCAAAACCCTATTCTAACTATTAAGGCCCCTACAGTATAGACTACGATGGTCTCAACCACGTTCCTTGTGCGGTTTAGGGTTTAGGGTTTAGGGTCCACTTGCATGCAAGTGGCACAGCTACCATGAAAGTGAAGAAGGCCTGCAGTAGAGTCAGCCGCCAGTCCTCCACTTCGGCAGCGATCCAGTCGAGAGGCTAGCAAGTAAGGTGCCACAAAATATAGGGGCCTTAATAATTAGAAAAGGGCTTTGGGGTCCTTTATAGTGTAGTTATACTAGACAACCTCCAAAATAGTACTAGTTACGAGTAATTACTTGAAGAAGTTTTTTATGTATTCTAAGTTAAAGGATTGAGGGTCTAGGGTGTGCCAGAATTTTGCACGACAGCACGACTCTACGCACGGACCTGCCTGGCTGGCTTGGGGTTTGGGGCTTAGGGGTTTAGGGTTTAGGGTTTAGGGTTTAGGGTTTAGAGGTTTCGGGCACCCGTCGAAACCACAAGTGGTGCTAGCAGCAGGACCCCGGCAGAAGCAGAAGCCAACAGGCATAGCTGCTTCAAAGAAGTCGGGATTCCTTCCTAGATCAACAGTTCATCGGGACCAAGCCCAACACAGTGACACACAATTCTAATCTTGTCTGCTGCGTACGAGAAGCTAAGCTCAAAACCTGACCTGGGCAAGCCAATTTCTGCAACATCTCGTGAGACCAACATGCGCAGAGGGTCCATATACATATATATATATATATGACCAATTATTGAACTATCTTGGTTTTAAGGACCCGGTTGCAGCTGCATAATGGTAATATATACGGACCCTCTTGAATGCAGACCAGTCAGTCTAAACCGCATGATCTTCCCATCCCAGTTTGCAGCTGATATGATGCCAAACCAACTCTCCGGAAACCTAAACCCTAAACCCTCTACACCCGAAGTATACCCAAAAGGCTCGACCAACAAGCTAAACCCTCAATTTTTGTGGCATGGCATCTCCCCTAAACCCTGAACCCTAAACCCTAAACAGCTGAAGGGTTCAAGGTGTAGGGTTGATCCACTGTAAGGTACCAAGCACGGGGCGTCTAAGAATAGTGCATCCTTAAAGAAAAGGGTTTATATATATATATATAGTAATTGAGGTTCATACTAGGCTAAACAGTACAGGAACGGGCCTTGAAGACAACCTCATACGGCGTGCTGAACTCGAAAACAGACACGGCAAATTCAGAACCTCAGCTGGCGGAAACGAGCGTGTGGTGCGAGTCTATGTTTTGAAGCTTCAGGTGACCGTCACAAAAAAACACGGAGATAAAGCTTTAGACCCGAAGCCGTAAATACAGGAATTCGGATTGATGCCATTTAAGGTTTCGGGTTTAGGGGGCTGAATTTCACTTCGCCTCTCATTGCACAAGGATCGTTTCGGAATTAGGGATCAGGGCTGCCTAAACCCCTAAACCCCTAAACCCCTAAACCCTAAACCCTGAACCCCTAAACCCTACACCCCTAAACCCTTAAACCCCTAATTAAACCCTAAACCCTGAACCCCTAAACCCTAAACCCTAAACCCTAAACCCTAAACCTGCTTATCGCAGCCTTCTCACTGAGGGCCTTCTCAGTCTCTACACGGAACCCCTGCCTTTCCGTTCTCCCGAGAGCCTCCTAGGTCCAAATCTCTGCCTTGAAGCGTTTTGGGTTTGGGAATAGGGTTTAGGGTTTAGGGCTTTGGGTTTTGGGTTTTGAAGTTTAGGGTTTTGGGTTTAGGAATAGCGTTTAGGGTTTAGGGTTTTGGGTTTTGGGTTTTGAAGTTTAGGGTTTTGGGTTTGGGAATTGAGAGGTTGCACCAAAAAACCCTATAAGTCCGAATAACTAATTATGGGGTTTCGGGTTCAGGGACGTGAGGTTTACGGTTAATTCGGGGTTTAGGTTGTGCAGGGTTTACAGGTCTAATTAGGGTTGCGGCCTTTTCTTCAGAGTTCTTGAAGTTTCGGCGTAGTTCAAGAGTACCACAGCCCCTGATTCAGGGCCGATGTCCGCCCCGCAGCATCTACTTCTGAAGTGATTTAGGGTCAGAGTCTAGTCCCTAGTAGTCCCCAAAAAACCTGCTTTTTCAGGACTCATATGAAGATATCATATTCAGGAACCCTAGAAACTGTAGGTGGTCCATACTATCTGCCCTAGAGACCTGGCGATTCGGAAACCTTCGGTGGCCTGCGAACCCTTTTTTAAGGGCTCCTTGAAGGGGGCTCCTGTAACGGCTCTTATAAGGGCTCTTTCATGGGTCGTTTAGACGTCCACACTTCTGAAGTCCTACTGATTTCGGGTGGGGGTTCTTGGCATTGGTGTTTTGTGCTGCAGTGTTGCCGAGGAAAACGCTCGCTAGAGTGTAGAAACGTGAAGAAACCTACAAGCTCTAGAATGCGAGGGTAGTTCGACAATTCCCCCAACATCCGTCCTGGATTCCTACAACCCTAATTAAACGTAAAGCCTCAACCTTCCTAACACCCCACCTTAATTCCTAAACCCTAAGCCCTCCGCCCTAAACCCTAAACCCCTAAATCCCTAAACCCTAAATCCCTAAACCCTAAACCCTACGTAAACCCTAAATCCCTAAATCCCGAAATCCCGAAATGCCTAAACCCTACACCCCTAAATCCCTAAACCCTAAACCCTAAACCCTGAATGCCTAAACCCTAAATCCCTAAACCCTATAAACCCTAAATGCCTAAACCCTATCCCTATAAACCCTAAATCCCTAAACCTTATAAACCCTAAACCCCTAAACCCTAAATCCCTAAACCCTATAAACCCTAAATCCCTCAACCCTATAAGCCCCAAAGCCCCGCTTTCCGATCAGCGGCCCTGTCTTAGCCGACTCTTTGGTTTCGCGTCTGGCTCGGCCATGGCGAAACAGGGGCCCGGGTATCTTGCTGTAATGTAGGGGCCTTAAGAATCAGAATAGGGCTCCTTGAAAGGGATCCTTGAAGGGTTCTATAAGGGCTACTATAAGGGTTTAGGGTGTAGGGGCCCTAATAATTAGAATAGGGTTTCGGAGTATATTATACTGTAACTATAAAAAGGAGCCCCCCCAAAATAGTATAGGTAATTATTCAGGACCCTATATTACGTTATTCTGTAATTCTTGTCGTTCTGATCATTACAGATTGTTATTACTAGTATTATTATGAGTACTACTATTATTGTTATTGCTACTATTATTGCTATTACTATTACAATTATTCTTACTATTATCATTATTATTGCTATTCTGTTTGTCTGCTTTGTCATGCAGATGTTCTGTCATGCTTGTTATCCTTCCTTTGGAAAACGGCTGTCACGCTCTTGGCTTTTACAGTGCTTGAGTTAGTTCTGAGCTAGTTTTGAGGCTTTGGGTTGTGGGGTTCCAGCTACCCTGCCCTAAACCCTAAACCTTGGTATCTCTGCTCCTTAGTACCGGTCTTGTTGTCATAGAGACTACATAGCTGCTTCTCGGGGTGTCTGTGCAGGCTCTAGGGCTTAAGCTGACGGTTTAGGGTTTAGAAATTTAGGGTTTAGGGGTTTAGGGTTGACGGTCTAGCTTTAGGAATTTTGGATGCATTCCTTAAGATCCGCGCACATGTTGCCACGAACTTCGAACTCCGTGACTTCAAGTTAATTCGAGAACCTTCAGGACCAAATGATCCTTCAAAGTAGGGGCCCTATGCCCTAAAACAACGAATCCCCAGTTGGCATATGAACCTGAAACCATTTTAGGGTTCGTTTCGTCTTTAAGGAACAGGGTTAGGGTGTCTAGTCCAACGCCTTCCTCCTGATCGGCTGGAGGATGCTGGAAGCCCGCTGGAATGGGATGTTTAGGGTTTAGGGCTCGGAGGCTTAGGAAGGCTTAGGAAGGCTTAGGAAGGCTTAGGAGGGTGTTGCTACAGTTTGCCCTAAATCCTGTGGATTCGAACTGTCCGGTTGCATTGCCGTCGGCACAAAAACGAGTCTGGCTATCAGTAGCACATGTATCGTTAGCCCGCGGCTGAGCCCGGCACAGATGCCTAGATGAACGGAACAGCTTTGTGGCTTGGTGCCTAAACCCTAAACCCTAAACAGTAAACCCTAAACCCTAAACAGTAAACCCTAAACCCTAAACCCTAAACAGCAAACCCTAAACCCTAAACAGTAAACCCTAAACCCTAAACCCTGCAGCCGTCGGGTAGATTTACGGCCTAGAGGTCGAGACTTCGAGTTGTGAGTTTAGGATATCGGTGCAGGCTTCGGGTGTAGAGGAAGCTCCCGTATGATCCTGTATGGGTTTAGGGTTTGGGGTTTAGGGTTTAGGCTTCAGGGTTTAGGCGTATGATCCTGTTTAGGCTTCAGGGTTTAGGGTTTAGGGTTTAGGCGTATGATCCTGTACCTATACTCTCCATTGTAGTTCCTTTTTAGGGATACCTTATAAAATCCTTACTATATAACTGGTTAAACCAAAACAAAGAACTACAATGGAGACTGTAGGTATCTGTGCATCTTCCGACATAGCTGACCTGACGACAAATTACATACAGCAGGTTCCTCCGTCTTACGTTCCAGCCCCCGGGTTTAGGGTTTAGGGTTTAGGGTTTAGGGTTTAGGGTTTAGGCGAGCCTTGAATTCACACCGACGAACGCCCAAATCCCCGGCCCTCGCTACTTTAGGAATTTGTAGTCCCTACATACTTGCACTATGGTGTACTCCAATACCGCCGCTGATATCATTCTGAATAATTAATGAGACCCTGAAATACAGCGTCTAAACTTTATTTGTGATGTAGAATTTAGGACGTAGTGTTTCGCGGAGCAGTACCCGATCTACTGGCATCTGGAACGGCGCAATAGCCTTTGGACTGCGAGCATCGTTCAGCGTGTAGTTCTTCCACCTGAATCTCTTGATACCGGCAGGTGCTGCGAAATAGTCCGGGCAGTAACGCCACAGTTGATGTGAGTGAACCACGGGTGACTTCGCTCCCCTGATGCGACAGGTATGATTCGACTCCTCTGCATCCTCTACCCATTGAAACCGCTTGGACAGGAGGATGCTCCGGACAGAGCAGCTGAAGTGCTCCTCAGCATTCGATTGGTTGCAGCTCTCAACCGCGGAAGCATTAACAGCTTCCGGGCGTATGGCAAAGAAGTCTGTGTGCAAGAATCGGACTCCCCGCCGTTTATCGCAGTTGTGGAAGATACCGTCGACCGACTTGTTCTTCATGACCTGCTGGAGCCACCCATCCTCCATGATCAAGACATCCAAGTTCAGGCGAATTACCCAATCGTACCCCTCGAACCACTTCTCACGACGTCCAAGGTGCCCGAAGGCGTCGCTCACTGCTTGGATGGCACTGGCCTGGTAACCCCGATTGGGGAACTGCTTCAGCGTGACCCTTCGGAACTTGAGGCGACCTAGCTCCTCCTGGCTCAGATTCGCCGGTGTATACAGGATCAGGTCGGCATTCTTCAGGATCGGTAGCTTCATAGCGTGCTCCCAGCACGGAAGGTACATCTGTTGCTCTTTGCTCCAATGTGTGGTCATAAAGACTGCGAGCCGAAATGCGAAATCCGGGCCCTGAGGCTCCTTAGCGCTGGGAGGGGGCATTTGGGTATCGTTGCGGTTCCGGTGACTTGTGATCGGGCCCGAGCCTTCGCGCTGAGAGCTGCCAGCAGCCGTCCCAACATGCGAAGTAGAGCTTGAGGCGTCGAGGGACACTTGCTGCATTCCCACGAAAATGGCTGCCATAGAAAACGACAAGAGGAATACACGATAAGCGCGGGACATGGGGATTGGCAATTTCGGCTTGCTCAGACCACGCGCTCCTTCGACACCTGCTATTCCACATATCGGACTTTGGGCACTGCCACAAAGCCCACGCGCACCGCTGCAAAGCTTCCGCGCTGTTGCGGGAGGGTCATGGCAGAAGCTGGCTGCAAGAATCTAGTAAGGCACTTAGATTTCAAGGTCCTGTAAGGTTTGCTCCAGAAGCGGTACTTCTTCATTGAATTTGCAAAAGCCCGCCAAGAAAGAGGAGAGTAGAGCCGAGGACAGGATTCTGAGGCAAGAAGATCAACGGGTGGAGCCTCTGCGACAGTCTAGCTACAATAGACGCTTGAACTTCGCATCGGGTAGCTGACTACATTTAACGGCTTGTGGCTGTTGTTGTTGTTGTTGTTGTTGTTGTTGCTGTTGCTTTTGCCCCAACACTTTGGTGAAGAAAAGCAACAACAGCAGTAACATGGCTCAGTTCGTGAGTAAGTTGGAAATGGACGATGGTGTTCTCGTTGATGGTGATGGTGGTGGTGATAATGATGCTTAGGGTCATTGGTGATGATGACGACGATGGTGTTGTTGCTGATGATGATGTGACCGGGATGAGAGACCTTGAAAAGATAGGTCCTGGAGGATGCAGCTAGAACTGTCCTCCAGGATTCTTACAAGCCCTACATCCTAAACGGATTACGTCCTCGGATAAAGCCTCCATAAGCCCCAAACTCGAATAAGTCCTCTGCCAGGACCTTCAAAGAACTCGGAAATCTCTGCTGCCGCCACTCCTCCGAAGCAAATCTGCTCTTAGCCTCGGTTCCCAAGGGTTCAGGGTTTAGGGGTTTAGGGGTTTAGGGTTTAGGGTTTAGGGCTTTGAAGGATACTGTTCCCTAAACTCTAAACCCTAAACCCTGAGCCCTGAAACCCAAAGCCCTACTGGGCCTCAGAGATTGAAACCGGTTTCGGGATGTAGGCGACTTAGGGTTGAGGATGCTACATGGACCTTAGGGTTTAGGGTTTAGGGTCCCTAAACCCTAAACCCTAAACCCTCCTACTTTTTTTGTAGGGTCACTATAAATCCCATATTCGGGTTTATAATAAGAACCTACATGTAATACGGGGGCGTTAATAATTCGAATAGGGTTTTGGGGGCCCAATATACTATACTTATAATCAGGAACCCCTAAAGTAGTATAGGTAAGTATTCAGGCCCCTACATGTACTTTGGGGACCTCAATTTCAAGCAGGGCCCTGGAAATAAGGCGCTACAATCTTTGGGGGACTATATCGGGCTGGTATTTCCAACTATTCGACGCCGAAGCGTAAGCCCTCGACACGTAAACCAACAATCTTGATAGTTAGTCAAACATGTCCTCGGCTGACTCCTGAACCCTCCTTACAGCTAGACTTTAAAAACCCTAAACCCTAAACCCTTTAGCCTACTCATTATAGTTCATGTAGAAGCCCCAAAAAGTCAAAGTCCCAAGACGCCAAGTCAGTTCCGAGCAGAATTCTAACAGCTGCAGGCATCAGCCTTTTGCCTCAAATTCCCGGGTCTGTTTTGGGTTCAGGGTGTACTTGGAGGATCATGGGACTTAGTAAGTATGGTTCTAAGTACCTTAATTGGGGTTATAAGTAGTTCTAAGTATAGTTACTCTAATAATAACCTTAGTTACTAAGTCCCATGATCCTGTAAGTAGGGTTTAGGGATCTAGAACCTGAGGGAAACGCACCACCATTTAGCCCCGAAGCCTCTGACATCATAATGGTTTAGGGTTTAGGGTTTAGGGTTTAGGGTTTAGGGTTTAGAAGGGTGTCCCCATCC